ATAGATTTTACGTAAGAATTCTGGAAAATGAGAAACAAATCAAATACTTATGTAGTACTTCAACTTATTCTAATTCCTCTGTATGAAACATAAGCTGTGCTTATAAGGAACTCCATCCTTAAAATGTGTTTACATTGTTTTAACTTCCTAATGCATGAGGAAAAACGTACACAGTGTTTTTAGGCCAAAAATGACCCCAATGTACTAGGGTGGGTAAATATAAATTGAGACGTATAATAAAATGCCTAGTAGTAAATATAATCCATTGGTCGAATGTCTACTACAATCAATACATATGCTATGGGTCTGTCATTTCAATGTAAGATGAGATCGAAAAATGACCAAGCGCTTATTCCAAAATTTTCAACTGCACACTTAGATTGTTTTGCCGGGATGGGCACCACCAAGCAGCTCGGAATTTTATTTTGCTGGATCTAAGTGAAAAACATGCCGAGATTCTTACAAAATATTGTAAAATTTTAAAATCTGAATAATAATTCTCAGTCCTTCAGGAATCATGAAGATTTTCGTAGTCTGTATTTATCAAGAAAAAACAAATTAAAGGGTTGTGTCCTAGACACGACCGCAGTATGACGTACAACTATAATGATGTATGTCATGCATTTTCGACTATTATACTTTATCTTAAATTTTTCAAGTATTTCAATGTTTCCGTTATGGTTCAAAACTCGCGACAATTAATGTTAGCATAATCGACCACCGTTCATCTTACGCATGATGGTTAAGAATTGACAGAATTTTCCCTACATAACTACACAGGGTTGATTAATGTTGATCTATTTTGCTGTGATCAATATGCACTAAATTCGACATCGACTACAATAGGAACTGACACTATTTCATCTCACATTTTTTGTTGACTTGCACCTCAGTATAATACACAAAAACGCCATGCATGTTGTGGGATAAAACAATTCGCAAAAAATACGTTATTTTTTCAGTAGCTCCATCATTAGTTTTGAAGTAGGTCTCTGAAGCAGAGAAGAGAGTGAAGGTTACATTTTATGATAAAGCAACAGGCAGTTGTTTTCCCTATCAGAAGTAAACCGTAAAACGGGGTAACATTGATTGTTTTTTTTAAAGTATATTCTTAATATTTTGTACAGCAATGAATGTTTTTCAAATTTTATATTTTTAAAACAAGTACTGAGGTTCCACGAGATAATTCGTTAGTAATATCATAGAGGTAACTCTGAGACTAGAAGGTCCCGAAATAACGTGCTCAACTTTTTGGCTCAGCTCTGGTACTCTCTTCGGTCCCAAGCTAATCGATTCACCCCTCGAAACATAGGAAAATCAACTAACCCCTCATTTTATCTGTCAAACTTTCATAGCGAATCAAAACAAACATAGTGTAGTACTATAATTTCAACTATAATGGGGTACGCTTATAGATGTACTTGGGACCAATAGGCTAGTCAAGTAGTGAGTCAATTTAAAATCGGTTGGTAATATGTTCAACGGAAATTAAAGCATTTGCACTATTTTTTTTAGTTTTCCGACCGAACATCAGTACACTGAAGTCTTTTTTTTACACGGTTTTTTTTACGCGGTTTTTTTTTAACACGGTTTTTTTACACGGTTTTCCACGATTTACACGGTACGTTTTTAACGATTTCTCGACAACGATACAACCTATCAACTTGATTCCAATCACATTATCTGTTTCAAGCTATTTGTAATCGAATGGCATACTTAAAAAAAATCACAATTTTTGGTGTAAATACAGAAATTTTTAAAATATGTCTATATGGACCATATCATGCTTTAATTACAAATGGCATCAAAATCCGATTTTTTAAAAACATTTAAGCATGCGAAAAATCAAAATATCGTAGGTTTTTTTTAACACGTTTTTTTTTACACGGTACGTATCCCCCGTGTAAAAAAAGACCTGAGTGTATTTTGATTTGGGGTAATTTTGATAATGCTCGATGAATGTAGAAAAAAAAATGCAAAAATGCAATGAAACTCAAACAATTTAGTTCTATAAATATGAAACTTTTAATGAGTATATAATCAGAAATCATCATAAGCAAACAGAATACAACATTAAATTTGTGATGGCTATATTGGAAATACATTTCATATGTGATGGTTTGAGTGCTTTTGCAAACAGGCGAAAAACACGTAAATTGTTTTGTAATATGTTTGTAAAATGTGTAACACAATCTATATAAAAAAAACTATATACGATATCAACGGAAATGCCCTAAGCTACAATATGGGACCAATGTTCCTTATTTGGAAAAAGCGCAGCGTGTAAATTTAATCTTTATATTATACGATCAAAGTTACCCGCATTATCAAAGATACCCCGTTTTACGGTACTTTCAATATTGAACAAAATGTTGGTTCATATGTAAGCGAAGTAGGGGAGGAAGGGGTATAACGATCATACTGGGTTAAAGCACCTCTTTGTTTTCCATAACATAAAATTATCATGCATCATCATTATGTACTTTACAGCGTGTTCGTAGAATGATGCAAAATAGAATACTGTTACTTTTCTCAAATCAAACGTTTGGTTTCTAATAAGTAGGATCTTAGTATAATGAGAGAGAGAAGGATTAGTATTTTCCATTTAATTCCACTACTTTATTTGCTTATCCTTGACAGATACGCGTATTTCGTCTACAATGTGCAGACTTCTTCAGTGTCTTGTACTAATACTCGACTATTAGTACAAGACACTGAAGAAGTCTGCACATTGTAGACGAAATACGCGTATCTGTCAAGGATAAGCAAATAAAGTAGTGGAATTAAATGGAAAATACTAATCCTTCTCTCTCTCATTATACAGGTATTCCACTAAGACGCCCACATTCATCAGGATAGGATCTTAGTACAACCACCGGTTGGAAACTGACGATTTAAAATTGGCTCACTACTTGACTAGCCTATTGGTTCCAAGCAAACGATTAACATACCCCATTCTTGTCAAAATTCTAGTACTACACAGCTGAGCCAAAAAGTTGAGCACGTTTCTTCGGGACCTTCTGGTCTTATAGTTACCTCTATGGTACAACATTAATTGAAAATTAGGGGGATTCAGTTATTGATTTTCAAAGTCAGAGCAAAAGCTCGTATACTGGTTCTCCACCTGTACAATATTTTGATAGTAAGAATCATAGTTAAGGTACACCTGGTGCAAGTTGAAACGGTACATGTATCTCTTAGCGGAAGTGAATATTCACTGTAATTCTTTTTGAGAGGCATTGTGTAGTACCGCAAACTACTGTATTAGAAATAATCTCAGTGATTATTCACTTCTGCTAACAGATACATCTACCGTTTCAAGTTCCCCACGCACTTCTTTCTCTATGATAAATGGTATATGCATTTAGGGTAACAACCGACGTCCCTCCTTCTTTGCATATTATGCACAAAAAATACATCCGAAGTCCCTCCTTTTTTACATATTCTGCACAAAAAATACTTTCTAAGCCCCGCAACTGACAGGATTTCTCGCCGTTTTTTATGAATGGCGCGGGGCAAAAAGTATCTTTTGTGCAGAATATGTATAAAAGGATGGACTTCGGATGTTAATCTAATTGCATATATAGAGGTACCAGATCTGTTTTACAGTCAGTTGTTGGTAAATGCCTCTGAAGCATTTTTTTTTCTCAAATTTGAAAGTTCTGGCTCTCTGATAAGCGGGTAAAAAATTAACGAAGTTTAAATCTTGTTGTTACTTATAATTGTAGTTTGCTTAACAATCATTTCCCGGACAAAAGTGATCGTCAAGGTCCATGTCTTTTTTCGGGTTGTCGTTATAGGAGGGGGGAGGGGGTGTTTTTCATATATAACTTTTCCCAGTTTCGATTAATCATACGGGACCCAAGTCTTATCCCACCTCAAGGTTGTCAAGGTGATCACGCCGTGATTCACCTTTATCCGCTGACTTGCTCCTGCTTGCTGCAGAACCAAGTGCCACGCCGTCCGAAGCGGCTATCGAATTTAACCGGAACCAGAGTAGGCCTAAACGTGTATTGTCAAAGTCGAACCGCAACCGTTAATTTTTTTATTTCTGTCCTGAGCGACAAGACAGAAATAATAAAAATTAACCATTAAGAAGATAATATAGCACTAAATATTACAATAGAATATCATACCGACCTAGGAACTAGCGGTAATAGAATTATAAAAAATATTTATTTAGATTGTAGCGCCATATGTGCAATTTAACATTATTGACAAGAAAAATTTCATCATAATAGCTTTATAACAAGCTATAACCCTGTAGTCTAAACATAGCATTACCTATAGGCAGTGCTGAGATTTGACATTGTTATTGATAGACTTTCGCACGATATTGACAAAATTGTTTTCAACATAGTACCTGATAGACTTTGTTTTTTCCTTGATTTGTTTTCCATCGATCTTGTTTTCCGTACTGAGTACCAATGCTGCCGACGCCAGGAAGACAAATCTCACATCTGGACCCTACCTATCGACCCATCAATTCATGGATCGGGGACCAACGGCTTTATTTCTCTGTCTGATAGACTTGATCATCAAAAAAAAAAACCTTCGTCAACATCTTATTCATTTTTTCGTCAATGGCAAAGATTACCCTGGTAACAAAAACTGTAATTTCTTGCTTTCTGTGTCACATTATTGTTATCCAAGCAATTCAGGCCGTAGATGCTTGTTCACTTTAACGGCTCCATGTAATTGTTTTGATCAATTCATTTAAATTCATTACAAATTTAGCTACTAAACAATCTGAACATGTTCGTCACTGACAGCATTTTCGCTGACAATTGACATGGTTTTCCTTGACGATGACTGTAAGCTCAAATGAGTGACCAATGTAGAATTTTAAATATCGCCGTGTATTTTCGATATTTTGCAGTGGTATTCCACTTATTTATATTCAAAACCTACCTAACTAAAAAATCCCAAAACTTCATCGAGTAGTATTATATTTATGCTTAGTGTGTCTAACCTTTATTTCGTTACTTTTTTCGTTGCAGTTAGTGAAAGTCGAAAACAAACGATACTCAAAGGTGTGAGTGGCGTTTTCCGACATGGCCAATTATCTGCAATCATGGGACCCTCCGGTGCCGGAAAAAGCAGCTTACTTAACGCCATCTCGGGCTACCGGTAAGTTGAACGTATGAAGAAATAATCGAATAGTGAATTCATTGGAACCAGGATCATGGTTGGGAATTGGAATTGCTCAGATAGTTCGCAACTGTCCATGCTCTCAATACTGCAGGTGAGCGGTTCCACGAACAAGTGGGAAATTTTTCCAGTTTTTATTTTTTGTATTTTTTGATTTGCATGAAACCTTGCATACAAGTTTTTGGGGAAGAAAAACGCCGTTTTGCATACTTGGTTCGCCATTTTGAATCTAGCCTTACTTATGAGAAGGGCCTATGAAAAATGCACATGATATCTTCAAAAAATTGTATCTCGGAAACGGTTTGTCCGATTGGTTTGGTGTCTTGGGCGAAGTTTTAGACAATTGTTGGTGTTATATGGAGAAAATATGCACGGTAAAAAAAAGATTGGTATTTGTGTTTTGAACTAAAATATAAATTTTCCCTTTAAAGTGACATGTCAATAATTTTTTTATTATCCTTATGTTATAGCTGACTGAAAATGCTATCTAGTGCACAGTAGGTTGTTCTGGAGAAAAATAGGTTACAATGAAAAAAAATGTTTTTTAAAAAAATACAATTTTCAAAAAAGCTATTAAGAAAAGTCAAAAAAGTTTGTCACCCTAATTTTATGAAAGTACATCAAATTTGCAAACAAAAAGTACTTCGGTAACATTTTTCTAAGATGCACCGTTTAGAAGATATTACTGATTTATATTGTTTTTTTTTTGATAACTTAATAAGTTTTGGGCTTTTTTCGGATGTACTCCGTGTTTTTCCAGTTTCAAAAGTATTTTTTTCGGAAAGATTGGAAAATTTTGAGTTAAAATGACACTGACAGCTTAAAGATTCGAGTGAAATTCTCTGCCTTAAAAGTATTTTGAAAAACAAGTTACAAAATCCCACTATTCTTCAAATGATTTTTGGTGCGTTGTGCTGAAAACGTGCTAACAAGTATTAGATACAGGTAATCAGATACCAGTTAGCTGTACTACGTACAGTTGGTGATTGTAAACATGGTCTTTGTTGGAACTAGTCCACCATGGCCACGCTGGCCATAACGAGGCTAGCTCCGTCGTTGACCGTTCCTTAATAATAAATAAAAAGAACGCAGTAGTCACCTTCCATCAAACTAGAGGGCTGCCGACTGATACCTCAATCAACAACCGCCGCACTCTTTATTCATTCCAGGTATATACAATTTACAATCTTCTTCAATAACAATATACCTACGCCAGCAAATCTACCTCGCTCCAACTCTCCAAACTCGTACCTGAAGGTTCGACGATACCTGAGCGTTCAACTCTACCTATCTTCCAACAGTCTTTACCCAGCATTCTATGATTTCTACCCGTGAGCTGTATAATAATGTCTGACTCGGTTCTGAATTCATCCAGTATCTACTAGGGAAAACCAAACAGTAAATGCAGAAAGGTTGCTAGTAGCATAGTGATTATAGTAATTTCAGCTCATAATCCTGTGTTTTTGAACGAGATCCAGTGTTGTTTGATAACATAATAATTGTAAAGGAAAGTGTAACACGTTTTGGTGCAAAGGTAAGTTTTAAATACACATTTTAATTATATGTTTTGTGATATTTTCGTACAAAACTAACAATTGGAAAATATTTTCTATGTTACAGATTACAAAATGAGTAAAATAAGATGTATTCGCCCATTCAAAGACATTCAGTGTTCGAAAGAGCTGCGATATCTCACGGATGGTATCATCCAAAAACTAAAATCAATTGGATTTTCCAAGGTATCCACACTGAACACCAAGGATTTTCGTGTTTGTTCGTCTTGCCGTCTACATATTGATTCAAGAGCTCACCTCACCCAAAACGAGGAACAAAGCGTAGCCGGCGGCTCAAGGATGCCAACTGTTCAGACCATACCTGATGTACCTGATTCGCAAAGCTATGAAAGTTTGGTCACGATACCATCAGAGTCAACGCTAAGCACAATTAAATCAAATAAAGACTTCACGATGCCTGTAGACGTCGAAATATTCAACCGAGGAATAGCAGCTATTCGTGTTTCGCCTATAGATTTAGGTAAGGTTAAAAATGTTCACTATCCTGAAAAAAAGTGCGCTGAAATCGTCGAAGGTGTACGAAGAAATCTTTTTAAATTAGACGCTAAAACAGAAAAAGCAAACGAGTTTGATGAAGTCATAGAAAATATGAAAATTAAATTTTTAAATTCAGCCACAAGGCAAGAAAAACTATCAATTTTATCATTGTTGCCAAAATCATGGTCAGTACAAAAAATTGTAGACGAATTTAAAACCAGTAGAAATATGGCATCAGATGCAAGAAAGGAAAGAGATAATGTATTTGATTCATCTCAAGGTTCAAGCTCTGGAAAAGCTTTGAGTAATGAAACAAAAGAACTGGTTTTGAATTTTTTTTGAGGACGATGATATAAGCCGTGCAATGCCAGGCCAAAGAGATTTTGTTAGCGTAAAGACAGGAAATAAGAGATTAGCTGTTCAGAAAAGATTGTTAATGATGACATTGAGAGAAGCTTTTAATCGCAATGTAAAAATAGGGTTTTCATCATTTGCAAGCCTCCGGCCAAGGCAATGTAAACTATTGACTATCACAGGAACACATAATGTTTGCGTTTGCACTACGCATGAAAATGTCAATTTAATTCTACATAGCTTAAAAAAATACAATGTCTTGAATGATCTAAAAACATTAACGAATAGATTACTTTGCGAAAATAAGACAACTCATTGCCATCTACGAAGATGTAAAAACTGCCCAGATACCTCAGTTTTAGAAGACAGTTTATTGAAACAACTGGAAGAAAACTTTGTTGAAAAGCTTTCATTCGAACAATGGGTTACCACTGACAGATGTGATTTAGAAACTATTGTAAAGCAAACCGATGAGTTTGTTTCATTTTTCAGCTCAAAATTAGAAAGTTTGATTCCGCATGATTTTGTAAAATTTTTAGCTATTTGTGACTTTTCTGAAAATTACAGCTTCGTTTTGCAGGATGAAGTTCAATCACACCATTGGAACGTGCAACAGGCCACAATCCATCCTTTCGTAATATATTATACTGAAAATATGCAAATTAAACATTTTAGCTTCATTATAATTTCTGAAGAACTAAGACATGATTCAGTCGCTGTCAATTTGTTTATTGATAAAATGATAAACTTTTTACAAATTGATCAAAATAAAAACATAAAAAAAATTTATTTTATGTCAGATGGTGCTGCTTCACAGTATAAAAACCGAAAAAACTTTTCTAGCCTTTGTAAATTTAAGTCAAAGTATGGTATTGACGCTGAATGGCATTTCTTCGCAACATCGCACGGAAAAGGTCCATGCGATGCTATTGGAGGTACGATAAAACGCATGGCTACCAGAGCAAGTTTAGCCAAAGAACGCGAACACCAGATAAAGACTGCAAGAGAGTTGTTTAATTGGGCAAACAAACGAAAAGAAGAAGAACTTACAAAGTTGTCATTTTGTTATTCTACTACAGAAGAATACGAAAATATGTCTTTGCAGCTAAATAATCAATATAATAATGCAAAAACAATTCAACGAACTCTAAAATTCCACTCATTTCTTCCTCTATCAGAAAATACAATAAAGGCAAAGCTTTATTCAAACTGTCCTGACAATGATGCCAAAATATTCAATATTGTTAAGAAAGTTGTGTAAACAATAATTTTATAAAAATACAGGAATAAAAATAAACTGATGATATCCAACATATAATGTTATTTTTTATTGCGCACAATCACCATCCCTGAAAAATAAGCTTAATTCGCTCTTTTGAATCTTGCTAATTGAGGAGCTTACATTTGCAGTTCTCAAAAAGGTGTATCTCGAAATCGAGTTGTCTCATCGGTTTGATGTCTGTGGCGATGTTCGGCAATAGAGAGAAAATATGCACAGTATAAACACATCCAGTTTAAATGGATTAAACTGTTAGGCGATATGCAAGAGTTGAATGCACATTTTCAGCACAACGCACCAAAAATCACTTGAAGAAATCATTGTTCCTGATAGTGGGATTTTGTAACTTGTTTTTCAAAATACTTTTAAGGCAGAGAATTTCACTCGAATCTTTAAGCTGTCAGTGTCATTTTAACTCAAAATTTTCCAATCTTTCCGAAAAAAATACTTTTGAAACTGGGAAAACACGGAGTACATCCGAAAAGGGCCAAAACTTATTAAGTTATCAAAAAAAAACAATATTAAATCAGTAATATCTTCTAAACGGTGCATCTTAGAAAAATGTTACCGAAGTACTTTTTGTTTGCAAATTTGATGTACTTTCATAAAATTAGGGTGACAAACTTTTTTGACTTTTCTTAATAGCTTTTTTGAAAATTGTATTTTTTTAAAAAACATTTTTTTTCATCGTAACCTATTTTTCTCCAGAACAACCTACTGTGCACTAGATAGCATTTTCAGTCAGCTATAACATAAGGATAATAAAAAAATTATTGACATGTCACTTTAAAGGGAAAATTTATATTTTAGTTCAAAACACAAATACCAAACTTTTTTTTTACCGTGCATATTTTCTCCATATAACACCAACAATTGTCTAAAACTTCGCCCAAGACACCAAACCAATCGGACAAACCGTTTCCGAGATACAATTTTTTGAAGATATCATGTGCATTTTTCATAGGCCCTTCTCATAAGTAAGGCTAGATTCAAAATGGCGAACCAAGTATGCAAAACGGCGTTTTTCTTCCCCAAAAACTTGTATGCAAGGTTTCATGCAAATCAAAAAAGATGAAAATTACTCGTTGCTTTAATGATATGGAACCGCTCAGGTGCAGGATTTTGATTAATCTTATATTAAAGTTATCGGTATGTACCTATAATAGTTAAATCCAAACCATACAAAATAGGTCACAAACCTTTGACTTCCACTTTCGTCGTACGTAGATTACCAACAATTATTAATTAGCCCCATTGAAGACGATGACTCGCCTTCAACAGTTATCGTTTAAAAA